AAAAAAATTAATAACACTTTGCACCCTTGAAACACAATAAATCATGCATAATGCACCCCAAATGAATTTTTAAAGCTAATAAATGTAATTTAATATTTTTTGTGGTAGTTTTTAGGATGACTAATGTCAATTTTTTTTAATTCATCAATTATTTTGAAACTATAAAGTGCATAAATAAAAATACATCTCATCAACATATTTAAAATTATATTTTTTTTACCCCAAAAAAATATGTTACGAAAAAAAATTCTGTAGCTATTTCGTTATCAAGTTATCTGAAAATCATATTTTCTTCCAAATATTTTTTACCTAATATTTGCACTAGTTACAATAAAAAAAATACATCAATTGAATAATTTAGTAATAAAAGTTTATTTTATTTTATTTTGTAAGATAATCCGGTGTTTTTTTTTGCACTTTGTGCACTCGAAATTAGATTGGAGGTTGAAGAAAATAATATTTTATTTATTTATTTTGCATCCCCGATAAAAAAAAAACCAATAAAAAATAAAATTGCCTTCATTATTCAATTCAGGGTGCATTATGCATGATTTATTGTGTTTCAAGGGTGCAAAGTGCTATTAATTTTTTTCGAGGGTGCATAGTGCCAAAGTGGTATATTTTGAGGGTGCAAAGTGGAATTAAGCCGAGATATTGTTTTACTCTTCCCATAATTAAAAATCTACATCAATGTGTGTAAAAAAGAGATAACTAAAATTTAAAATTAAAAAAGAGCAATTAAAGAAAAAAAGACTATTTGAGGGATTAGGATTTTGCTAGTCGATTTGTAACTGATTTACTATGAAAGTAAAAAAAAAACAGAAAAAAGGAAAATGAAAAAATAATAATTATTATTTTTTTTTTTTTTAAATTACAAATATACCATTATAGTTTCTTAGGTTACTCTAGTGTTTCTTTCTTTTATATATAAATATTTGATTATTAGACAGAAATTGAAGCAAGTCGTGCCAAGAATGATTTTTGAATTTATACCAAGGTATTCCGAGTACATTTATTTTTGGTGAACAAATTACAGTTATTGAGATGTTACGACGGATCATATACACCAAGTGATTTTTAACCATTGGTGATTTGGTGTAGTTAAATAACACCCACTAAAAACACATACACATGTATATATTTGATTATGTGCATATCAACGATTGATAATCACCCAGTAAATAAATCACAAATTACTCAATGCGAGCATTTCTTTTCTAAATGCATTTGAACTAATTTTAGTCCTCTAAAGAAAAAACTAACTATAATCTTACTACTAGGCGGGAAGTCGCTTTCTATCCCCACCATTACCACAACGGAAACAAATAGAAATTACAAAAACGAAACAAAAAAAGGAAGCAAGTCGAAAATAACACTTTTTAAATGTAGAAACATAAATAGTATACATCCGAATTTGAATCGTACAAAGTGATATCGATATAGATATAGGTATATGCTTTCAAATAAATCTCAACTCACCTCTATTAATACAAGTTTCCATATTTGTGTACTCTCACATAATCAAATGAACGGAGAACCGAACCCCAAATAAAAAAAATATAATACGAAAAAGACAACACAATAAGGAAATCACCTCATTTGGGTCACATATCAAGGGAGATTAAAATGTTATACAGCAGCACAATATATATTAAAACAATGCTATTCTATACCAAGCAATCATATAATTATTGCTCCAACCTTGTATCTGTGGCGTCGACATCAATATACATTTGGGCGCGACGAACATGTACAAAAACCATTCAACCATCTCCTTTTCACAATCGGCACTTTGCAACTCGTAAAAAGATAAAATATATGCACCAAAAGCATTTGTGCCTCCATGCACGTATTTCTTGTGAGACCAATCAAGAGTATTAAGCTGATCGAGTGGTGTAGTTCAAAGGTCACAGATATATAAAGAATTTGTGCCAGCGTTTAGAAGAGCTCCTCGGAGTTAAATTTATTCCACGCTTCCTATTAGAAATATCAGGCTTACAATTAACGGAGCTCCCTTGCGTAGAGAGGAAAACAATTTAATTCTGAAAATTATATCTACAACAATAGGATCACATGCTTATTTCATTCAAGGATAACAATATTCTAACATAAATGAAAACCCACATTTTTGTCATCGTGTTTCGTGCTCAAGACTAAACCGAAAGGGCAAATATGCATTTTGAATGATAAAACAAAATATTTTGAAAGGGATGTTATAAATTTCGTTTCAGTTTTAAATATGCCGTTTCGTCTTCGAGTGTGAATTTGACCATTTCGAGTCTGAATTTGGAAAATTCAAATCACGGAAATTTGTATTTTTCTTGAATTAGCTTTCCAATCCACAACTTGAATCACCATTATTCGATGTCGAATGAGAAAGATATGCATGAATCAATGAACACTACCCACAATTTTGATGTTTTGAGTTGTCTAAAATTCAAAATATAACTCATTCATGCATAACTTTGTCACCCGACATCCAATCTAGCTGATTCAAGTTGGATTAGAAAGAAATCTCAAAGGACTAAGGTTTTCGTGTTTTGAATTTTGCCAAAATCAGACTATAAAAGGTTCAAATCAAGTTCGAAGTCAACATGGTATTAGTCAAATTTGAAACGACTGTTTAATATTTCAGTACTTCAAAGTATACCTTAAGCAGGTCAAAAACCTTTTCAGCAATGTACTTCTGTTGGAGAGTGGCACCCTTTTGCTGAACCTTGTCAGGATGAATGCAAAGAGTAGCTTTTCTGTAAACTTTTTTGACAGAGGCACCGGTGATTAAATCCGTCAAAGAAACAGGCGTCCACCCACATTCAGGCCAAAGAACCTGTCGATAGAAGACCAGTTGGCATCTTTACAACAAACATAAACATAGAAAGCATAATGCAGTTTCGAAGACATAAAAACTGATGTTGAAAATGATCGAAACACACAATAGAGTGCCAAAGTTTTGAAGATGTTCCCCTATCTAAAATTATACAGTTCATATGTAAGACAGGAAATATAAAACGCACATATTGCATAGTTGACAGCAGAGCACGCAGATTTCCTTCTTTGCCAGCAGCCCACCGCTTGATTTCAAAATCTAATGTCTCGCCAATCCTCTGAAACCAGACAAGATCAAGTTTAGACAGATGAAAATACCATTGGACTCAAACTAGCTGAAACTTCTAAAGCTCTTAAACAGAGTTTATAGACCATTATTCCAAGTAAAGAATCAAACATCAACTTTTAAGATTATGGGTGACAATTTATGAATTTCAACGGTACAATAAAATCAATGGTTCAGAAAAAAACAACTATCAAACTCGAATACCCAAGTCCATGCGAATATTCAAACAAGCTTTCCTGCCAAATGAATGACATCAGTGGTTGGCATATACTTTTCATTTGATTTTAGTCATCAGACTGCCAAAAGAGCCTCAACTTTAATTGGCAATGCCATAAATTGTGTTATAAACAAACTAGGAGCTTAAGGGATTTTATAAAAGAAATATTAACTGTTTTTTATGAATTGAATGATTCACTAAAGATATAAATAAATGCCAAAAGGTATTCACTTATTGAAGATAGAAATATTAATTTAAATGCTAAAACATCTACTCCCCATGCATCTGTACAGCTAAAATGCAATTTAGAAAACGAAAATGATGACAATGAAAGACTAATTGTTGTATACTACAAACATATTCAGCATCTAGAGAAGAAAACCCCATGCAACAGCATGTCTCTTAACCACTGTGACATGTGAAAGTGGCACATGTTTTCTTGATGGTCGAATTCAGAAACTAAGCAAAAGGTTGTCAATTAGGCCACAAGCATCCCTTTGGATGCAGTATAAGTACCAAGAAATGATATCGCTAGACAAAGTCGTCGCAAAAGTATATATTTCTTATAAAGGAACTCACATTTCTTTCTTCTTGATCCCTCTGAGCTTGCAGGTCGCGCTGATTCTTTTCAGCTAATGCTTTGGCCTGAGATAATAAGACCAACACTTATTACTGAAACAAATACAACATATAGAAGAAGAAAGATCATGCTATCAATATCATAAACAGTAAAGAAACTCAATAAACTATTGTTTGAAAAAGGATGGAAACACATACCGCCCGTTCTTGAGTGCGTTGTTGGCGGTCCAGCCTGGCTCTTCTTCTTTCATCGGTTTCCCCTTCAATCTCCTGGAATTCTACAGCTGATGGAGCCCCTTCAGAGCAAGATAATTTCAAGAGCAGAACAGTCAGCAGTAGACAGATGCAAAATAACATTTCGATGTTAAATGATAGAAAAGGCGATATACCTCCAAAAATAGAAGATAGATCATCTACAAAATTTGGAGTGGGAGAAGCTTTCTTTATGTTAGATGAGGCTCCACTAGATGTTGGTGGCCTCTTTGTAGCTTCAGATGCACCCTTGTTCTGGAATTGTTGATCGGAGAAAGGATCCTAAAATAGAAACCGAATAACAGAACAAAGTATTACAGTGAATGAAAAATCCCGTGAATAGAATTGAACTCATGGTATATGTATCTCCTTTTTCCATTGCTATGTACTCACAGTTGTGCTTGTACGTGGTCTTGGTACAGTACTTTCTCGGCCCATGTTGAAAAATGATTCCAGATCATTATCGTTCTTTTGCTGATTCATTTTTGCATTTGCCGCCCTTTCTCGAGCTTCTGCGGCAGCTCTCTCCCTTGCTTCAGCTGCAGCCCTTTCAACAGCAGCTCGTTCAGCTCGACGCCTTGCTTCTGCTTCAGCCCTTGCCACAGCAGCTTTTTCCCGGAGTTCTTTCTCCCTTGCTTCAGCAGCAGTCCTTTCCCTAGCCTCTGCGGCAGCCTTCTCTGCTCTCTCTTTAGCATCTGCAGCAGCCCTTTCACGGGCTTCAGCTTGTGCTCTCTGAACAGCTGCTCTTTCGGCCCGTTCTCGAGCTTCAGTGTTTGCCTTCTCAACAGCAGCCCTTTCAGCTTTTAAGCGAGCCTCGTTGGCTGCTCTATCACGGGCCTCAGCTGCTGCTCTTTCACGGGCTTCCCTTGTAGCCCTTTCTACAGCCTGTCTACCCTTGTCCCTTTCGATCTCCCTTAATCTTTCCCTCTCAAGTCTCCTCTGCTCTTTTTCTTCCTCTTCCTTCTGTTTCCTTTCACGTTCTAATCTATCCTGGGTTTCCCTTAATTCTTTCTCCTGCTCGTATTGTTCATCTTTTTCCAGTGGACCAGATTCCTTGACTCTATCTCCCTTGGCATTTTCTCTTTCGCGTACTTCCTTCGCGTGTCTGAATTTAGCCTCAGCTTTATCCATAGCATCCTTCATAGCAGCAGCAGATGCAGCAGCTGCAGAGAAAACATTGGTATCTATACCAGAATGAACATTGCCACTTTCATCAAAAGTGTTTGTTGACCTACCACTGGCAAAATCCTCAAGCTCATCAATCTGTGAAGCTGGAGGGCCCTTAGCTGCAGGGCTGGATGGCTTAGGACTTTGATGATGTTGACTATAATTTGTAGGCGAAGAAAATTCATCACCCTTCTTTCTTGAATTTGAAGAAAAGGAACCTATTCCCGACTTTGAAGCTTTACGAGGTACGGGCGGGGGAGGTCGTGATGGAGGTGGAGCAGTTGAAGGTTGAGTGAAAAGAGGAATCTCTGATACAGTGAGCCATACTTCATCAGATTGATGTACCCATCCTTCTGATGTTTGAGACATGTCTACATGCATGTCTGCGTCATAGTACTGAGGAGAAGCAGTAGTTTGACTAAAAGATTTCTGATGACCCGTTGAGACATTGGGCACATCAAATAACGGACGTTCCTGAAAATTGTCTGCAGGAACTTTCTTCACTGTATTGCTCTCTGAATATCTTAAAGAAGTGTTCCCCAAAGGTTCTCTGGTAGTAGCAGATTGAGGCATTGCTGATCTAGAAGGACTCCCATCTTTCCCTCTATTATCCCTCCCAGGGGAAAATGAATGCGAAGAATTTCCGACACTATTGACGGGATATAAGTCATCAAATGCTTCACCACTACCAGATGAAACTTCAGCCCGCACAGTCCTAGGTTTACTAATCTTATCAATTTTTTCCAGAGGATCTGTGGAGACCCTGGACGATGAGCGCGGGTTTGAATTCAGAACTACAAAAGGATCGTCGAGGCCTTGCTTTGACCCAGCAGTTGGTACAGATCCCCACCTTGACTCTTGTATGGGCCTGTGCCAACAAGGGAAACAATGATACTTATTAATGTAACTCCAGTTTCAAATAGATTAAAGCAAGCAAATATTTTTGAATTGTAAGCCTTCAGTCACAGGGTCCACAGAAAACAAAAAATCGCCAATATTTTCCAAGTTTAAAATAGCGTAGCAGATTGTTAATTTGATTTATCAATTATAATCGGAGAGCAAATTATCTACAGCCAAACAACTATCGAATGGTCGAAGCAGGGGGTCCTCTGGTTTGGACTATGAGACTCGTTCATATCTGATAAAAGATCTAATATTCTTTAAACTTTGCTACTAACAATTATTCAAGCTTTCATCTATTAACCAGTAATTATATCTGAGAGCTCAGTTCCATATAATAAATAGGAGTGGGCACCTCTTCGCTTCTTGTAGTTGGAGGCCCTGGGTTCAATCTCAGTTGTGTGCGTGCTTGTGTTGTAAGGCCATTAAATAAGGCCATATAAATATATATATATAGGAGTTCCCTCTGTTCGATTATCATTTGATCTCGCGGTTTTCAAGCTCTCCCTTAAAACTAATTTATTGATTATAAAAGCCTTCCTTTGTAATAGTAAACTACTGGAACCTAGAAATACTCAGCTATGCCTAACACATGAGTGTTCTCTTTCAGGAATGGAACACCGCCATAGCAAAATTTTACCTTGAATGTGTCGCCTTTTGTTTTATTTACTACTTACAACGACCTCTAATTGCGTCTTCAATCTCATCACCAAGGCACCAAGTCAATTCCCATTTATATGCCATCTATTTATTAACCTATTAAAGCCACCACATCCATATTAACCTGCTCTAATTGAATCCCGAAAGTTCAACAATTAAGATAGTACCTCGAACTCAGACAGTTGATTAGTGATAGTTTCGTTAAATCAAGGAATGGTGAGTAGTATGATAAACAAAATTTGTGAGTTTCTAATCGGCAGTGCCAAAGCAAGTTAAAGGGATAACTTTCACATATATATATAAACAGTTTGATATAAAAAAAAAAAAAAAAAAAAAAAAAAAAAAAAAAAAAAATCCCAGGCAGACAGCCCTTATAGCAGCTAAAAAAGTTTCCTTGGATGCTTAAGACTACCTTCCATCCCACAGTAATACTTAAGTTCTATGATAGTGCAGAATTTTTCCAAACAAGGAAAGCTGTAGCCAACGAAGATAAACAGATAAACTTTGTCTTTGTTCAGTTTTCCCTTTGTAACGTGTGAGCATCATCCATCTTAACCTCTAAAGATTGTGAAAGCAAACTAGATATAAGTGCACAACTAGTATAAAATGAAAATGTTTTCCCTGTTATTTCTAAATTCTCTTAACAGGCATCAGATATTAACCACATTCACATGTTTCTATTAAAATGTATCAGAACTCTTCCGTCCCATTCCATACTATCCCGGTATGATTGAGAAACATGTAAATGATATCTAATTAAAACTAATTAAATTTTTCCAATCAATTTTTGTGGTTACTACATGTATTTCAAAACTTGGTAAGTATTTGAGTTTGCAAGAGTCAACAAAATTTATGATATCATATACAAAATTAAGGCCAAAGTTTTCTAAGATTAAAAGGTAATCATTTAAGAAGGTGGGTAGACAAAACACAAAAGAGATGGAAAATATTTTGCTTATGGTAGCTCTGATATAGGCCATATTTGCTCTCAAACAACAATTCTATAATGATGTTATCTGCATTATACCAGCCACTGCGACCTGTCAAATACTGTATCACATATTCTCTTTACCGAATTCACCAGCATGGGGACTAAAAAACTTTGGCCTATTAAATATGCATTGACCTATACTGATTTTACCAAAACTGTGCTTGTATAAATGCTTGGAGTCTTACTAATGGCTGGTTACCATTTTCACAACATACTGTTCTAGAATTTTGCTGCCATTTTTTTTATGGATTTCAAGTATTAAGTGGATGGAACTTGATCAGAAAATCAAAACTTCAAGAAAATAGATAATAGAAGATTATGTTACGCATCAACTCTCCATGAAATAATAAAATTGGAAAGTAGCACGAAAAGAACTATTTAAAATTCTTAACCCCATAATCTTTCTCCGTTAAGAAGCAAAAACTGTCATATGTGGTAATCTTTGGACTACCGTATCAAAGCATTTAACTGGATAAGAACGAAGCATCTGAAATCCTATTACGAACATCAAGCAGTGTCAATCTGCACACCGAATCTCCAAGCCATCAATCAAAGATTCAAAACATAAAACGCTAAAAATTCTCAACTATAATTTTCATCGCTATAAAATATCAACGACTGAGCCTAGCATAACAATGGATAAAACTTAAAAAGGCACCACTAGTTTTACATTCCGGCAGATACTAGATTTCCCTACCTAATATACAGCGCCCCTACAATGCAATTATTATCAGAATCAATCCATATAATTGGAATCAACAACTTCCCAAGCAAGCACAAACTACAAAAGCAAGTATAAGGATCAAACAGCAAGAGAAAACTAGTCAATCCAAATATTCAGTACAAATAAAGAAATAAATACCTGTTGCTAGTAGCAGAATTGACACTCCCAAACCCAGCTAACAAATCATCAAACCCCTTCGTACTCGAGCTGCTTTTAGCACTATGATTCGAGCTGTTCTCCCCTGCCTTATCATTCATCCTCAAATTCCCCAAAAAGTCATCAACATCACTGCTCCGATTCTTAGTTCTACCAATCTGCGGTGACGAAATCGAAGCAAACACATCGTTATCAAACCGGACAGTCGAGGCAGGGGATTTGTTCTTCACCCCGGGCAACCCACCAAATATATCCTCATCGTCGTACAAAGGCTTATCATACACGGGCAACGGAGACGAATTGTTATTCCCGCTACTACTGCTCTTCGTTTCGAATGTGGACGAGGTCTTGAAAATAGAATCGTAGTAGAAATCGCTCGCCGGCGAGTGTTTGACATTGCTACCGGAGTTTGAGCTCGGCGCGTACTTGGTCTGACCGCCGAAGACGTCGCTGAACAACGGATCGTCCATGGATCGACGATCCGCCGCCGGGCCGGACCTCATCGGGTTGGATTTTCCGCGGGTCCCGAGCCCGATGTCTCGCCCTAGCATATCCAGATCGTCCATCGGGGAAAATCAATCGAACGGTTCGATTTTCGCAGCGGCGGATCTAATCGGGAAATTGCACCGGCGAGTAGGTGTAACTTGCCGGATTCAAAAATTGAACGGAATCGGAGGTGCAGAAGGGTCAAACCAGATACCTGCTGATAGGATCTGATTATTCGGACCTATACGTACAGAAATCGGTGTATGTATCTATGTATGTATAGGTGAAATGTTCAAGCAAATAGTGTTGGTTACATGGAAAATTAGAAAGAGATGAAACCAAATTTTGATTAGGGTTTCTAATTGGGAATTGCTCTATCTGAAAGATGGAATGTGTCTGTACCCTTGTTCTTCGTTGCCCTGTACTTTTTCTCCATTGCCATTTTTTTTTTTTTCTTTTTTTTTTTCTTCGGGTTGATTGGCCTATTGCTTATTTGTTTCGTTTTATTGCAAAAATAGGTTTCATTTTTTCGAAAATTAGGATTCTTTCCACAATACTTTATACATGTTTATGTACTAGTACATACTTCTATATTTCGTGTCGAGTGAAATAAAATTTATATTTGAAGATAAAATGTTTTTTGAATTGATGTAACACACTCATGGTTCAACGAAAACGTGCGATGCATTGTTGCGGAAATTGTCGATTCAGTTCTATTGCAATGCCGTGGCTTTATCCCGTCTGTAACGGACAAATTTTAATTGAAATGTCAAAAAAAATTGAATTTATTTTTAATATGTTTTTATATCAACATTACAGTACAATAATATGCAAAATGTTATTACAATTTCAAAAATAAAATATTACAACGATGGGAGTGCATAATGTCTTGTTTTTTTCTCTATACTGAATGCTATTATTGAAGACGGATATGAGAGTGATTGCTATTATTGAAGGCAAAAAAGGAAACCTCTGTTATAACTTTCTTCACTATGCACTATTATAGCTTGGATTTATCTTTTAGATATTAAAATTTAAAACAATAACATTTTTTTCAAAGTGTCCATTCCATCGCGACGTCGTCTTTTCTAATTTCATTCATCACCGAGCTTCAACCGGTCTTCTTTAAGATTTTTTGTCTTCCATTCCGACCGTTCCATCTTGTTCCGACTGCCACATGATTATTATGTGGTTTCGTCTCGCCTATCCCGTCGTTTTTTTTTACTATGTTGTAATCTCTTACATGACATTCAAACTCATTACTTTGAAAGGATGTTAGAATTAATATTTTCTACTAGTAAATATGAAAAATGTAAGAGAGATTTTTTAAAAATTGTTCTTTCAATTTAGATAATTTTTAATATTTTCAAACGTCTTTTTAAATTCTATGTAAATGGCATGATACATTTATTTTAACAAAATAATAATTAAAATTAAAAAAATAAAATCGCAACAAAGAAAAAAATGTCATAAAGCATATTTTTTTTTTACAACATTCGGTTTTCTTTCCCAAATTTGTATTTATTATTTTATTCTATAATCATTATTGGTATACTTAAAATTTACAAAAATAAATGAAAATTGGATTTAAATTATTTTTTATATACTTTTAATAAAGTTTTCAGTAACTCAATAATTACATAACCAATCAGATTCGGTAAATGGTATGAAACTTTGAGGATACCTAAATTTTGATAATTTCAATACAATTCGATACGAATTTACTAATAAACATCCAATTACCCCATTTAAAAAAGTGGAAAGCACGAGTCGAGTCAACCAACATCATAACATTTTCTTTATTAATCAATAAACAATACGTGTGTTAGAAGAAATATATTTTGATCATTTCAACCAAAAAAATAAAAAGGGCAAATTTTGTTATTTTTAATATAGGGTAAATTAAGGCATGATCAAATTACAAAAAAAACCCTCTTGTTTGAATAATTACAACCATCGTCCTTAAACTACGAGTCATTTTACACGTCCATCTCTATGGTGTCAAATTCAACATAATATTCTACATTCCGTGCATCACCCTTATGATGCACCACAATCTAATATATACAAGCCAATAGATACATCTCACGATCATCATGTTTCAAAATGTTGAGCTCGAACGGGGTAAAACATGTACATATCGGAGAATATTCCACATAACCTAAAAGATTCCACTACACCGCAACGCTGCTGGACGTGTACGACGATTCATAGTTGATGGACAGTTGTAATTATCCAAACATGAGGGGGTTTTCCGTAATTTGACCTTACCTCAGGGTGGTCACTGTAATTTACCCTATATATATATTTTTTTATCCCATATATTTTTGACTCTTTCAACAATAGCCCCCAAAAGAAGCCAAAGGCCAAAATAGCGACTTTAGAACAAACATAAAAGCGTTAGAAAAGAAAAAGAAAGCGTCAAGATCACTTTTTTCCCCTTTTCAACTACTGCAGAGTGCAGAATTCAACTACTGCTCGTCGTCTTTTTAATATGTTCATACCAATTAATTGGTTATTAAGAAAAAAACTTCAGCACACAGTCTACAATGGGATCGCACGAAACTTACATTTGATCCTCTGATTAAGCAATGTCCCAACCTGCCGAGGTATCCTACAGGTTAAATTTCTATTCTTGTAATTACAATTCTTTTAAAATTAATTTTTTATGGTTATTTTGATTCAGTTATTGATTCTTTAAACCTTTTCCGTTGATGGGAATTTAGGGTTTTGCGACGTTCAATTTTGTGTTTTATGTTGTGAAAATCATCTGTAGTTGCTCAATTCATGTGGGTTTTGACTTTTGATTCATGGGTTGTGAGTATAACTGTAGAATTGCTTTAATTTAATTTAATTTAATTTGATTTTTTTTTGTTTAATGTATCTGTGCTTCTGATATAAGTAACGTTGAAATTTGATTTTAGTATCATTTAAGGTAATGAGGCTGTGTTCGATTTTTTTTTTTCGGTTGATCGATCGGTTGACTTTTAGTCGAAAATTTCTTCTTTGGTTCTGTTATTATACTGCTTATGTAATTTCTTCTTTGAGGCATCGATTCCGGTACTTGTTTTCGCTTTATTTTCTCGTATGGAAAGACCCTTTAGATAAATCTATTCGATCAAAAGTACAAGATTTTCTCGTACGTCCATGGTGTCGTTCCTCTTTCTTTACTAATGAATTACCTTTCCGTTTCTTTCTTACTGCATCTTACTATCTTAGCGTTTGTGCTTGCCGATCTTTGCAGCTGTGGTTCTTGCGGATATGCTCTAAATTTGACGTCATCGAATCGTGCAACTTCAAGCATCGGATCCAAGTACAGCAAATCCATCAACAAGGGCTCTATCTCCTTTCTCTCTATTGACCCGAGCCGATTTACTCAAGTTGACGAAGTCAACTGCCTCCCTATAACTTGGGGTCGATATCGTTCGAAATCCAAACTCCTCTGCCGCAGCTGTGGGGTTCTCATTGGTTACGGTTATGGAGACTCGACCGCTCTCTGTGGCCTCGAATCGCCAACCTCGTCCGCCTCATCTTACAAGAAAATCACCGTGAAAATTCGAGCTCTCCAACCTTCCGGAAGCATCTAACGTATAATGGACGACCCGCCTACGTCTGTACTCCAACTTCCAGATGATTGCTTACACATTATTTTTCAAAGGCTCGACTCTAGTTCGGACCGTGACTCGTTCGGATTGGCTTGCCATCGGTGGCTTCGTATTCAAAACTCGAGCCGTAGATCATTACAGTTGCTCGTCGGGCCTTCAATGAACATCGATTCATGCCATCTGCACAGATTGCTCGACCGTTTTTCGCAGCTGCAGTCATTGTCTCTAGCTGGATGCACCGAGCTTTTAGATTCCGGTTTGTCCGCACTGCTCGATAATGGATCGAAGCTGCAAATATTGCATCTTGATTGTTGTTATGGTATTACGGATCACGGGCTCTCTTTCGTTGCTAGTGGTTGCCCTAATCTGGCCATAATTAGTCTCCACCGATGCAATATTACCGATGTCGGGTTAGAAACCTTATCTAAGTCTTGCCTAGTCCTAAAAGATGTTAATCTCTCGTATTGCTCGCTTATATCCGATCATGGTGTGGGGGCTATTTCGAAAAACTGTCGTCAGCTTCGAGCGGTCGACATATCTCACTGCAGAAGTGTAAACGGCGTTGGCTTTAAAGGGTGCTCGCAGACACTGACGTATCTAGAAGCCGCGTCTTGTGATTTCGAGCCAGAAGGAATGATGGCCATTTTTAGTGGGGGTGGACTCGAGTACTTGAACATCTCTAGCATTAATTGGTGGATCAACGGACACGGTTTGTCATTAATTAGTGCTCGATTTATTTCGAAACTGAGAGTACTCAATTTTCGGCTGTACAGAACTATTGGCGATGATGCGATTCTGACGATTTCGAAGGGGTGCCCTTTGCTGCAAGAATGGAGCTTAGCTTTGTGCCATGGGATCGGTATTGCAGGGTGGGAGTCTATCGGTTCGAACTGTTTTAACTTGGAAAGGCTTAATGTGAACGGGTGCAGGTATCTCTGTGATGAGGGCTTGCGCGCTTTAAGAGACGGATGCAAACGGCTCAGGTATCTGTATTTGGGTCGGTGCAGACGAATAAGCTCGACGGCTATCGAGATGTTTAAATGTTTGAGGAGTGATGTCGAAATCGGAGACGAAGAAGCGATGTGCATTGCGCCTGATTGGGCCTTCCGGTTATAGGAGGTAGGGAATAAACTTGAGTTGAAGGAAATGTTAACCATTGAGTGTCAATTTCTTTTAGTAAATGTAACTATATAAAAGATGTATATTTATGATAATACATTGCTTCCTAGTGAAACAGTAAATTTATGTACTCAACATAGTAAAGAACATATAATATTGACCAAAATCACATTATATATATATATATATATATATATATATATATATATATATATATATATATATTCAACTGACAGAATACTAATAGTAAAAGGATAATTTTCCACACAAAAACCATTTTTTTACTTCTTAGGATATATGTATTCTCCTTTTTATTACACGCAGCTTCCATTACAAGAATACGACGATTCTGTTTCGGGTGAGATTTCGAATCAAGGAAAGTAGTAGTAGCAGCATCCTCTTTCTTCTGCACTTGCACCTTTCAATTAAAAGATACGACGGCCAATTCATTTCTCATCATCTACACTAAAGAGACACGTACAATCAGATCGATTTACTGTGCATCACCCCATACACCATCCCACGCACCGCCGCTCGGAGCAGCAGGCTTTGGTCCCTCCATGTAGTTGTGATTTCCAGGGTGGTTGTGAGGTCCAGGTGGACCTTCCATGCCGGGAGGATGAACTTTCATGTGCTTCGATCTGACTCCTAATATTCTAAGAACAAATCTGGCAAGCTCTCCATATAGCATACCAGATCTATCGAATAGCTGCAAAAATGAAATATCGACCAGATCAATTTTTCTTTCTCCAGATACCGACAAACTGCACTGGATAATGTTTTGCACATAAGAAAAAAAAAAGTACCTGAAGAAGGGCAGACATAAACATATGGAATGCCTGTGTATTTTGGTCGATCAAGATTGCAACCCGTCCAAAAAATGTCACTACACCCTGCATCTGCAATTATCGAATAAAATAAACAAGATTAAGGGATGTTTGTAGAGGCAACTAAATGTTGTAGGGGTTAATGTTGTTTGCAAAATGCAGTTGGGATTGAATTCGTATACCGAATCAGCACAAACAATTTGGACAACCAACTATAAAACAATACCATATCCTACATATTACTAAAGAATGGGCACAAAATCAGCTCCATCTACTGCTATTGACAATGCATAGACAGAAAGAATAGTTACAAACTGTCAAAACGAAGAAAGAAGTCTTTTGACTTACCACTCGCATTAGCGAAATCCAAAAATTAGGTGGAGAAGGAGGAGGTCCGTAGGGATTGTTTGGGTCTTGATCACCCATGGGTCCCCCCATGCCCATTCCATAGCCTCCCATGGGGCCTCCAAGACCTCCTCCAAGACCACCACCATACATTCCACCACCACCACCATACATGCCGCCTCCTGCTCCTCCATAAAGTCCACTGTAACCTCCTCTATACATGCTGTTTCCATACATCCCACCTCCATACGACCCTCCTAACCCCCCACCTAATCCACCTCCTAACCCCCCTCCTAATCCCCCATATGATGAACCATACATCCCACTTCCATATCCAGAATTGTAATTTACACCCGAACCATAACCTGGATAAGAAACAAACCAAGGGCCAAATGCACATTAGATTCTGAAAGGTTCAGATACATAAATATATGTATATAGATTCGAATATCACACCAATATGACTCTTTCTGTTTCCGCGCTTACATCTTGCAAAGAATTGTGACTTATCTTCTAGTTTAAACATGAAGTCCATCTTAATATTAAAATGTTGAAGATTTATGAAAATATCAAGGCTTAGACTAGAAAACTGTACTCACTCCAAGAGAGACAAATTATTAGCAGAATATGCAAGTGTCAAACTACTGGCACTTATTAACGTGTTAGAGAACAGGGGTTAATGGCATGACTGTAATTATCCATATCTTGGCAAAGCATTATCTATAATACTTTATCTCATACTCACATGTTTTCCGAAGCAGGCAACTACTACAAATAATCGAACACCGACACTCAATCCATCAGAAAACTTCACCACATTATAAAAGCAGATAAAACCACACGAACACTAATGTCAAGGAAGCAAGCAATTTCAATTAGAACATCAGTATTTCTTAGTCCATTTAAAAGCATGTATAGGACCAACTGCATCAAAAGAATTTGTTCTGTGTATTTAATCAAAGTGGATTATTACTCGGGTCATAGTGCAATTTCAGATTACACAATTGGCATTCTTTCATTTGAATGCTGTGCTAATATGAAATTTTTAAACGCTAATGTCAAGGAAACATGCCATTTTACTTGGAACAGCAGAGTTTGTCAGGCCATCTAAAAACTCCTACAGGACCAGCTTCAACGGAGAAATTTCTTATCCATATTTCAACAGTGTGGCTTATGGCAGTCATGATTGCAGTTTCAGATCATAGAAGCCCACTTTTTCATTTATCAGCATGCCAATATCAAATTGCGAACAGTCCCCCCGTCCCCTACTTCCCCTTGTAAAGGACTTTAATTTACTCAAAAAAAATAAAAAAATCAAATTGCGAATGCTAATAGTCATAGAAAATCGCAACAAAGCATGCAGTAACCACCATCCAGTTTCATCTATCTGAAGCATGTGACACATGGGACAATATGGAGACAAAACATATTCAATGCAAGGCCGGTCTAATCTCAAGCCAATGAAACAAAACATGCACTCATTTCAGAAAAAAGAAAAAGTAGTCGTCTTTGATACCTCCTCCATAAGTGCTGCCATACGTCTGCTGCTGTTCCCAGGGCCGAGCAGGAACTGGCCTCCCAAGAGTGTTTGTATTAACAGTTGTACTCCTATTAGCAGTCGAAACAACTTCACCGGGTTGAGCAGTTCCAGAAGCTTCGACTACAGCACTTGTGTTACCAGCAGAGGAAGGCTTAAATGGTCCGGGCCCAGAAGAGGATCCAGCTCTCTCCCACGGTTTTGGCGGTGGGCCACCACCACCTACAAATAAATTAATAAGAAGAATAAGTATATCGTCTAATAATGGTGTATACTTTCCTGTTCAAAAACCCCTTTCGTAGACACGTTGGACATATGAGAAATACATTAATTGGCCAAGCGGCAAAAAAATCAAATAAGGTTTCATTGCCTAATATTGCTAGATTCTTCTGTGATCATTTTACAACCAAAAATCAAGTCGAATCAGGATCCGTAAACGAGAGGAAATGGTTTGAATAAGATTAAAAGAGCATTCTTCAATTTCGGAAATAGATGATTGAACTAAATCATTTAAAGGAGCTCCGCAATCAGTTCTTTGCAATAAGGGAAAAAAGTAATAAAGCATGAACAAATTCCTGATTAATACAAGGAGCCCTAATCTTCAAACGGACGATTGAAGAAACAATATTAATCTGTAAAATAACAAATTCGCCAAATCACAGAATCAAAACATAAAACACCGCACACAGAAAACTACGAATTAAACACCAAAAAAAAATTCAAAAAATCCAAAGAGATTGCAAATTTGATTGATCCAAATTTGATTGAAATAACGGCGGCAAATACCTGATGCTTGGGCGTTGTTCTCCATAGACTATAATCGGATTCTCGAACAGAGAAAGCGAACGAGAGAGATAGAGAGAGAGAGGAGGAGGTTGGGGAAAATCGGTAGTATTGACTGATCAGAAAAAAAGTGTGTTTATCTGCAAAAAAAATCGGGTTTTTTTTTTTTTTTTGCGAACCCCAAGAAATTTCTGAGCAAAATTGACGAAATTACCCCCCAATTGTTTCTTCCACGAGTTTAATAAGGAAGGACGCGGTGGCGGAGTGATGTGTGGGACCTAGTTGACTCGGCTGCCGCAGCCTAATTTAACACTTTTGACTTTGAGTCAACAAGGGTAGTTAAGGAAATCCCATCACAACAATATTTTTCTTCTACTTCATGATTATTTTTATTTTATTGATACACTAACCAAATATCAAATAAGATAAAACTCAAATTTTAATTATTTATTTTGCCTTGAGTCCTTCTAAATTATGTAAATGGGCGAGTTAGTAGAGGGTCCGATGAGCCGACCTTTGACGGACCGTGCTTGGATATATCAAGCCTATCGATCAACTCATCGATCAAATAAAAATCAATTTTATGACTCGTTCGATATCTATATTGGATTAGATTGGATTAACTTCTTATTGATTAATTGATTATTTAGTTAGTAGAATATTCGATTTCTTAGATTAGATCTTCTATTAAATTTGTTAAATTCAATTATTATATATAAATTGTTTCTAAATCCACTTGGTTTACAACAGTAGTAAAATATGATTTTAAGGATAAAATTGTCTTATTTGTTTTTAGTGTTTATTAAATTAATCACATGGAGACAAGTGCTAATTCAATGAAATAGTAGTATTTAGAGCAACTCCAATGGGAGTATCAAATGGATTATCAAACCCATAAACTACCTTTTTTATATCCCAAAATTAAAAATTTCTACTCCAATGGGAGTATCAAAATGGGTAAGTATTTTGATAATCTACATCTTCATAAGTAAAAATACATCCTGGAAATTAAGTTATCAAAACAATAACCACCTAAACCTCCAATCACAAAATGACACGTGACAATTATAAATAAAACTACTAAAAAACTTCCAATTGATTATTAATTTTGATAACCATGGTTGGAGTAGATAAATTGTAAATGAATATTAAAATATTATCTTAATTATCAAATAAATATTTGATATTTCAATTTTGATGTTTTGCATTGGAGTTGCTCTTAATAACAAATTTTGATATTTGTTTAGGGTTTGGAAAAATGTGAATCTTACTAACCGTACGTGTTATTAGCCCTACTATTTAGTCAGTAGTAGAATTTTATAGCGGTAATCAGACGAGCCTTAATATTTTAAGTTACTGCATGAGATTGGAGATTTAGCCAACGCACATACATGATTAGCTACGAGTCCCTTCTTTATCACATTAAAATAATCAATTTAAGAAAAAAACATTTCAACTTTGGAATAATATTTTCCATTTGAAATCACGAAAGCTCCAATTCTCGATTTTTCAAAGTTTTTTGGAACTAAATCGAAATGCATATATATATTCAAATTCTTATCCGATTTCAATTTTTGAAAATTTTGATTTTTCTCCCAAAATTTACACTGTAAATATTTAACATTATTATGTGTTTATACTATATGTGATTAATCAAATGGAAATTCCAAAGCCCGCCGATTGCGATCCAAGAAAAATCGATCTTTGAACAAATTTTTTCACTGTAAATTTCGAAATTTTGATATGCTACTTTTATGTTTTATTTTTTGTGGAATTTAATAAAAAATATTTCCTTACTTCCAATTTAGTTTTTAAAATATGCTAATTCCAATATGATCCATCACATTTTCATTTTAGTGGTACAAACAAAATCTGAATTGGACGTGAAATATTCAAAGTAAAGATTCAGTGGGCAAAATGCCTAAATTGTACTTGCGGGGGGCGAAAATGTGCAAATATGATGAAGTTAGAGGGGTGAAGTGCTATTTATCCTATAGAATACAGAAAAAGGAAAAGCATAACCGCCGCCGATCTGAACATATTATTCTCTCTCTCTCTCTCTCTCTCTCTCTCTCTCTCTCTCTCTTCTTCCGTGCTTATCAGATTGCCAATTTTCGTTAATTAATTGTTTTTGTCACGATTTTTGAAACGCAATCGAATTGAATTCGAAATTCAGCTCATATATAATTTTCGAAACGCAATCGAATTGAATTCGAAATTCAATTCAGAAGTAAATTTTTAGGTTTTTAGATTTCGGTGGTGGGCGTTGATGGCGGCAAGTGCCAACCCTTCATCTGGCGGCCATAGCAACACCAGCAACGGCAAAAATAATAGCAGTAACGGCGGCGGACAGGAGAATGGAAATGGTGCCGGCGGCCTGTCAGCGACGGAGAATTCCACGGTGGGGGACACCCAGCCGGGTCTCCGCCACAACCCGGGTCTGTCACTTGATTGGACTCCCGAGGAACAGTCCACTCTCGAAGATTTGATGGCAAAGTCAGCTAGTGATTCTTTTTCTCTCTCTCTCTCTCTCTACATTTATATTTTTGTTTTTATTTCTCGACTGTTCACATTTCTTGAATGGTTGTCGTTTTAGCTGAATTGATGGAATGTATAATGTGTTTGTTTTGGTTATTGGAGATTCTTTCGGTTCTTGCTTAGTTTTCGTTATCTTTTAGTTCTAATTTTTTTAAGAGAATCATCATTCATTAAACCGAATTTGAAACTCTAATGTCTAAGAATAATAGAACTCCTAAACTTAAACATGCATTAACATGATTTGTTTTTTCTATTGTTTTCTCATATTTACAATTTGCAACGTATTTACTGTGAATCTTCTTGGAGTTCCGACCATATGTTGTTGGCATGTTTTATTTAGATAATGATGGGTTTGACCGTTTGACAGATTTGCGGCAGAAAACCCCCTTGTTCGTTATGCTCAAATTGCTCAAGAATTAAGAGATAAGACAGTTCGGGATGTTGCATTACGTTGCAGATGGATGAGTGTAAGCTCTTTTTTTTTTCATCATTCTTTTCTTTTCGTATTCGGTTTTTGGATGTTTTACTCTTATATTTAGGATTGTAATCACGTCCGATTTTGAGTTAAGAATATCTGTAACTGTTTTAAAGTTATAGTTATGGATATAAAGATTAAAACTCTGTACTTGGAGATCAATAATGTTGGTAGACTAAATATTTCTACCTCAGAAAGAGTTTTGTATGTAAGAAGTTTAGTCACTCCATATTGCGACACTTCTCTTTTTCAGTTCCCTGCCCGGTTGAATGTTTTGGCAATTCAAGGATCAGTTTCATAGGAAAAGCTTTTTCCAAAAGAATATTATCATACATGCTGTATAAAAATCGGTTTGGGATTCCTGTAATACTATTGACGAAAAACTTGTCATTGTTTTGTAATTTCAAATCGTTCCTGGCATGCAGCTGTTTTATAAATTGGATGTTGTCTTCTTTTGAAGGTTCCAGTATATAGTTTCTTGAGTAGAGTTGAATAATGTTCAGTCTTCAGGAAAATAACTTTTGATTTTATAGACTACTTAGATGATCTATTTTGCACTTATATGTGTTGGTAAATTATCTTTCAAAAGATTGTCAGTGATTCATGAGATTCATTGGGAAAAGGAAATAAGGTATTAAAAAACTCCATTATGCATTTTCATCGTATATCTTGATTTTCATCGTAGATACAAAAACCAGAATGGGACTAATAGGGACCAGCCATGACAATTCTGATTTGAACGGTCTACTGTTTTGCAGAAAAAGGAGACTGGCAAGAGAAGGAAAGATGATAATATTTCATCAAGGAAAAATAAAGACAAAAAGGTACTGAATTACTTCTTGTCATAATCTTCCACTACTTTCGAGTTCAATACTTTAAAAATGAGGCTTCCTTTAATTTATATCATTCACCCACCTTGTCTTGCAACATTAGATTTATGGGCTATGTTTGAAGATTTAGATAGTTATTTTATTTTTCTTCAAAATCAGTCAGAGACTTAATATCCTTATTTACACAAAACTCTCGGCAGTCAATGGACAGTGCCTTTGCTACAAAATTAAAAGAGATTTTCACTTGAATTTGAGCCCTTGAGATACTGATAAACATGCTATAAAAGTTGTTATCTACAAAGTCCAAACTAGGCAATTAATCTTTGTAGTTTCCTCACTTGTTGCCAACCTGTAATGCCTAAATGGTTTCTGTGGCTATGATTTTGTTACTGTTTTGGAGCCAAGTTATGTATTATGCATGTATGCATTATTATATTATTATTATTATTTTATTTTATTTTATTTTGGGCTTCAGTTGAACTCAGTCCAGTTAATACTCTGACTAAGTAATTTCTGTTTTTTCTTGGGTTTTTCAGGAAAAGGTTACAGACTCATTGCCAAAATCTTCTCAAGCTGCAAATCGCACCAATGGTCCCCCCTATGTTCAGCCAATGCTTTCAGCAGAAAGTGATGATGGAATCTCATTCAAAGGTCAGTTAACACTCTTAACTTTCCTGAAAGAAATGGAAGTTACTAGTAGGGAGTCAGTTTTTTCTGCATTTTATTCTATCCCCTCATCTACTTGATAGATACTGTTGTAAATTCTTTTGTTTTATGTCTCCTATGGTTCATACTAGTCTGCAGCGCTACTGCACATGGAAAGCGTATACATATGATTTAATCAGGACTGTAGTTCATAGTATAAACAATGAAATACATGCAGGAAAAGTAGCTTGCAATTGCATTTTTTCGCCTTTTTGCATATATACGCAAGCTGGAATGTTGTAACATGTGACATGTTTTCTTCAAGCATGATGGTGCAGTATTCATTACCAAATGGGAAAGGTTTTACCTTTTGAGGCCTCCAATCTTAATCAGAATGTTTGTAAATTTCTATCATTTTTTGAATTTTTTTCCTCATAATTGATTTCTAAAACTTTGTATTGTATGTGTGGAGAGCCAGTTCTATATTTTCTAAGTCAAATCTTAATAGGACATTGCGGGCTAGAAATTTATGCATCAGGGAATATTAGAACTGGAGTAGCTTCAAATATCAATGCAATTTTATATATAAAACTGAGAGCTGTTACCCTCACGAGAAGTAGCATGTTTCAGTCAGATGTAGATCATGCCATTCTAAGATTAAAGTTCGTTGTGCAGCTAATTTTTTACTTCTTTTTTTAACTTACAAAAAATGGTCTTTATATTTAATTTAATTGTAGATTACTAATTCTGTGCAATGAATAAGGCAGTTAACCTTATTATATTTTTGTTAGCCAAGAATATGGTACAGCTATGGTTTGCTTTCAGTGAAAGGATATCATCTTACTGGCATCTATATCTGATCTTGAGTCTGATCATTGGTTGAAGCATCATACATATATGTTTTAGAAAAAAATAAATTAAATAATATATCATAGTTCTAATTTTTGGGCAAACTGTCACTCATTATTATAATTCTATATCAAACTTTAATGTTGTAAAGGAGATACAAGTTTCATTTTAAGAGGGTTGTGAACTCTCAATGAATATATTATTGGATACTTCTTTGTATATGTTTTGAGCCTTTTAAAAAACGTGAATTGCAGCAATTGGTGGAGCTGCTGGCCAGCTTCTTGAGCAAAATGCTCAGGCCTTGGATCAAATTTCAGCCAACTTTTCTGCTTGCAAGGTATTAGCAGCTTCGTTATATTCATGTTTCTAAATTTACTTGGATAGCTCTACTGTAAGCTAATGAATGATATTGCTAAGCATTTTCTTGTTTCATCAGTTATTGCTATAGTTTAATGGTAGGTCAAAATTTTATGATTGTTTGCGGCAATATATTTTGGGCTTACAAACTCTGATTTGAATACTGTTTCATTATACGCCTCAGCTACCTGCTTTTTTTTAGTTCGATTTAGTGGATCAGCTTAGTTGACAACATTGCTTCTTTTGTAGTAATGATGTTATTGACATTATTAATTGCTTATTTCACATGCAGCTCCACGATAACATCAATCTCTTTTGTCAAGCTCGAAGTAACATCCTTTCAATCTTAAACGAGTACGTGCTCTATCCTTTTAACATTCGTTTTGTATTCCGTTGAAGCAATGAGGAACCCTTGACACAGAATTGCTGCATCTATGGAGTTCCTTGCTTGTTTACTAATGCTGCGTCTGATAACGGCTTTATCGTTTTCATTTATTCTTTCAGTAGTTTTTTAGTTATTTCTGAAGTGTGAATGCCTGCTAGTGTATATATAATCATCTCAATAAATGCTTGTGATTATAAGAAAATAAAATGAAAATTACATTGAATTTGAAATTTTAGCTTTGAATGAAACGTGCCTCGCTTATTGTGGGTTTAGCTGCATGGATCGTCACTTTCAGATCTTAATATCTTATATAATACGATTTTTGGTTGAAAGCTTATTCTTTAGATATACGATAAGTAGTCTTAGGGTCGAATATACAGGTGAACTATTCAGACTCTCATCTTTATCAAATCTTAAAAATGAAATGAGGGTAATTAATTGTACTTGTAATTGTGAATTTCCGATTACGGTATGTGTCTCGATCCTAATAATCTGAAGTGTGTATTACAGCTCGAATGACATGCCGGAATTAATGAAGCAGATGCCACCTCTTCCTGTGAAGCTGAACGAAGATCTTGCGAGCACCATTCTTCCTCGAGCGAAGAAATCTTGAGATCCGAGTTTACCATGACGGAATAAATTAGTATAAGCTTGTTTTTCTTCTTTCTTGATTGATGTTTTTGTTTTTGTTTCGTTTTTAATTTCTGTTGCATGATTCGTCGTAGGAGAAAATCCGTGTAGCTTATGAACGCGATCAGTGGTATTATAGAACTCAGTCCTGTACATAGATAGCTTAGAAGGAAAGAAGTCGTGCTATTTAATTAACTAGTGTTTAATGAGTATATAAGGTTTATATATTGATAAAAAGTTAAAAGTTTATAATATGGTTATTATTGTGGTTAACTAGTATTTTTATGATTTTATGACTATCAATTAGTTTAAAATGTTTGCTCAAGTAAATACACAAACTGCGTTTGTATTGTAATGAATGAACTATCTTTGAATAAATTTATACTAAAAATAATAATAGTAATAATTATAATAATAATAATAAAAACAACGAGTTTATATTACTTCGTTGTGTAATGTTGTTTAATTATTAAATAATTTATGAACATGGTTTTCATTATTAGTATTGTTATCATTAAATGTACTACATTTGAGTTAATTATTATCGAGGTTATACTGTAATTATCTCTTAAGAAAAAATTATTATAATTAATGAAATATTTTGAAAATTTCATCTAACCTCCTTCCTCCCATTTTCCTATTTTTTCCACTTTTCTCTTATTTTTCAACATTTCAAATGGAATTAATAAAAAAAACCCTGAAAAATTAGAAATAAAATGGCCTTAAAAAAGTCTTTGTGTGTGTGCAGTGAGGTAGCAGTACTATTTTATCTCTCACTGTACAAATCCAAAACCCTTGCTCCTCTGTACCAAACTGCGGTTAACTCTCAGTTATTATGACGCCCTAAAGGGAAGAATCACTGCTAGAAGAAAGATATCTATTCTCCTCACCGGATTCTCTGTACGAATTCATTCGAGTTCTCCGCCCTAAAAAAATCGTGTTTTTTGGGCATTTTTTTTACTATTGTTCAAGCCGGAGGGAGAAAAAAAATGGCGGAGGCGGCACGGCAGCTGACGCCGGAGCAGGAGAAGCAAGCCATTAGAGACATTGCTGTAGCCGCCGAAGCCCATACCACAGTCGGCGATACTTTCTATTTAATCACACAGAGGTAATTTTTGTTTTTGTTTTTGGGCGGCGGGTGTTTTAATTACAGCAGATCTATTTTGAAAAATGGCGTTATGTGTTTGTTGATTTGGGGTTGTTTATCAGTGTTGTTTTTTGCTTTTAATTGGGTGATTTGGTTGAGTGCATGTGAAAGTTTTTGACCATGGTGAGCGTTGGATTAGAGAGGGTTAGGGTTTAAGAGTGGAAAGCTCTCGGGATGCTTGGGAAAGATAACCTTTTTAAAATAAAATAAAATAAAATATTGGTTTTTTTTTATTGTTATGTTTCGATTACGGAGAAATGGGGTTGCTTATGGGGGAGCTGAATGCTGAGTGATATACGCTTGTCTGCTGAATTTTTCCTTGGCCCTCGAGTTAGAATATCTGCGTAAGCTAAAAGCCAGAGTTTAGTTCAATGAGGTCCCTGGTATATTGTGAAATGTATGTATTATATATGTACATTGTTTCCTGTAGTGTGAAAGTGCCTTGTCTTAAATTCATGTGCAAATACATATTCCAAAAACGAGAGTCGAAGGAAGTGCCTTGTCTTAAATTCTTAGACATTTCAAAGTGTAGAACAAATATCTTGGTGTTTAGTTTATCACCATAGGCATGGGACTTTTGCAGTAGATGTCCCATTAGTGCAACCCTATTTGTTATAGAGTCAATATCCATTGTCAGGTCATATGTTCTCATCGTCAAGGGCTAATCTTTTGATGGTTCGATCCGATACTATAATTTCTCTAGTTGACCAGTGAAGCCAATATGTTTGCATGATTGTTTTTGAGTAATAATAAGTGACCATGACACAAAAAAGAAGAGGATCGTATTGCTAGTATTAACAGAGTCTAAATCACAATCACTATCTGGAAGACATGCATTAATTTGATCACAATAGTTTGATATGACCTAAACAAATGAAAGTTGTCTGCAAATTTTGCCTTCTCAGTGTTAGCAAGAAACATCAATATGACATGCAAGTTCAAACAGAAGCAAAAATGATTTTTTTTCCCTTTTTATGTATTATAAGTGGCGTCGTTAAAATTAAATATCTTCAGCAAATTATATGATAGAATGGGCTCAATGGATCTTTGGTATCCTACTGCATTTTAAGGGTTGCTAAAAGGATGAACAACACTATATACATTATCATAATCCATGGTGAGCGCCTGAGAGGGATATCAAGATGCCCTCTTTGCTCGAGCTAGTTTTGATCCGATGTCAAAATTTCAAGGGAGGAAAAACCAAAAACTAGGACTGTTTCGCCTCCTTAATGCTTGAATGTTTCTCTTTTGTCTTTATCGCGAATCTGCAACATCCTTAGAATCAAATTGCAAATATTTGTGTCAGTATATCTTCTTTTATTAGATCCACCGATTTTTGCATTTTGGGTTGTACTGTAACTAAGTTTCTTCTCCTATGCTTTTCCTCATGGTCACTGGCAGATGGTGGCAAGATTGGCTTGAGTATGTCAATCAAAATCAAACCGGTAATGTGAATGATGGATCGTCTTCTGAGCATCATACTTCAGTCAGCTCGACTGCATTGAAGAGGCCGTCCTGCATTGACAATTCTGACTTAATAGATGAAGCGGTACCTGAGGATTCTGCTACGGGTATTGAACTTCTTGATACTTTAGTTGAAGGCACTGATTATATATTGCTTCCAGAAGAAGTCTGGAATCAATTATATTCATGGTGAGTGAGAAGCAGTTTTCTTTAGTCACACCGTGTTATTTTATTTTCGACGCACGATACATTTTCTGATGATTTTGCTAAATAATATAGAAACTAATTTTCAAGATTTAAGAATCAAAATAGATGTATTTAGATTTAAAAAAAATGTTTATCTAGGACAAAACCAGATTGCTAATCTGTTATCGTAAATTTAGTCAGGTAGAAGAGTGCAATCACAAAAGTTGATACAGGCTGATTATATAAGCCTACGATCATCAGTCTTGGACCCTGAAGTGTAGTGTCTTTATATTTCATGCTTATTTTGTATTGATTAGACATGCTCGTATAGTAATTCATTCCGAAATCAAACTTTTTTTTTGGTATACAAAGAAGCCTAAGTAAAACACCGAATCACTGATTATGTTGGAAATTTGTATTTTCTGACGTAAGCTTGGATCATGCCAGCAATCTCAAATTGTGCATTCTAAAAGTGTTGTTGAAGATGCATATGCTTTCAATGGTTTTGCCTGTTTAGTTTATTCTTTTGACTGGATAGTTCTAATCCACCAATTTTTCTGCTGAATGTAAAAATAGAGCAGTTACAAATGTAATTAAATCATAATGCTCTCGAGAAATAAATTACCATATTGTTCAGCTAGAAGAGGAAATAGCTATGTTCTCTGGTATATGGATGGATATGTACCAGTATATTCTGCTGCATTTGTTTAACATAAGAATATAAATTAAACATTATCTAGATGAACAGTATGTTCTCCTGACAAAGGCAGCCAAGACAATCATCAAATGAATTAAAAGAAGTATTAATATCAGTTGCTCAATTTAGGTATGGAGGTGGTCCTCTGTTGGCTCGAAAAGTAATCAACACAGGCCTTTCACAAACAGAATTGTCTGTAGAAGTTTATCCTTTACAGCTTCAGTTGCATTTGATGCCCAAAGGTGACCGTTCAGCCATAAGAATAAGCAAAAAGGTGTCATATTTGTTTTCATTCTACTTCAATGGAAAGGAACATTGTTTCCGCCCTTACACATCTAGTTATGATATCTAATAAATTGAATTCATCTGTCAGGAGACAATTGGCGAACTTCACCGAAGAGCTTGTGAAATTTTTGATCTTACACCGAAGCAAGTAAATGGTTCTCCTTGGACAAAATTACATTGCATGTATGTTCTAGTTAATCTGCATTTGTTACTTTGACGTATATAATTAAGCTGTGTATTCGCGCAGGTATCCATATGGGATTACTTCAGTCATCAAAAGCATGCATTGATGAGTGACATGGAAAAAACGCTTGATGATGCAAACATTCAAATGGATCAGGATGTGGGTGACATTACATTTTGCCACTTTAAAATCTTTAATAAGAATCATATCTTTTCATAACATGAGGTTTACTTTGACGTGCTTTTTGATAAGTATAATCAGTTTTTGACTTAAATGCTTGTGATGAATCCATCTGGTTTTGAAACTGTCCCTGTCCCATGTAGCGCCTGTTATCAGACTGACCTTGGCTATGTGAATTTAGTTTTATTAGTTGATTGTATTCCTTCTGCCAACTTTTGTTTGTGGTAACATTTTAGTTGTGCACCTCAATTTGTAATCTGCAGTCACTCTTTTAAGTAGTTTTTACCGCATGGGTAATTCCCTAATCTTTACCTTTCCTTATTTCTAGACATTCACTCCTTCCTTCTTAAATCTACTTCCATTGTCTTATCTGTTGCGTGGTTTGACAGATTCCTTTTCTCTTAGGTTTCTTTGCTTGAATATCATTATGCATTTTAATATATCACACTTGCCCATTATTGGCTATTCGCTGATTGGTAATTTTGTCAAGATATTTATATACATGACATGATTCCGGACGTATGTTCTGATTTTCCAAATTTCATTTGCCATGTCTGACACAGATCTTAGTAGAGGTTATTAGCAATAAAGGTGAAGGTGGTCGTTCCAATCTGGAGAATGGATCTCTGCATAATGGAAGTCTATCTGTTGCACCTTCACAGTCTGGTTTCCCAACTTCTGGAGGTTTATCTGCAAGCAAGTATACGTCAAGAAATGGGAATTTGGAATCCCAGCTTCAGAACCTAAATACAGAGAGAGCATATGGATCTAGTGGTGTCAGTACAAGGGGGTCTTCTTGTGGTCTCATTGGACTACTAAATCTTGGAAACACTTGTTTTATGAACAGCGCAATACAATGCCTAGTTCATACACCAGAGTTTGCTCGGTATTTTCGTGATGATTACCATCAAGAAATAAACCGACAGAATCCGCTAGGCATGGTTGTAAGTTCCAAACACTGATGATGTTCTCGCAAGCTAAATCTTTTTCTCGTTTTTTTCCTATGTAAAAAGTCCCAGGAGAAATCTTTGGGTTTGTATGAATAGATTTACAAATATACAGATGGTTTCTTCTCACTTTAGTCCCGTTTGCATTCCATGATATTACACCTGGCTCATCTATAAAAGATCTTTCTCAGATTAGAGACTTGATTTCAAGGCATGGGTGTGGAACTTGGATAACTATATTTGCATTGTCCACTTCCTAATGCTTGTATATGGATAGATCTATATTGCCAGCATTTGAGCTGTAATATGATTGATTAGTGAGGTAGTCATTTCTCTGAAGTTTATATATGTAATGCAGGGTGAGCTTGCTTTAGCATTTGGTGATTTACTTAGAAAATTGTGGGCACCCGGGAGAGCGCCAGTTGCCCCCAGGCCCTTTAAGGCAAAGCTTGCTCGCTTTGCGCCACAGTTTAGTGGATGCAGTCAGCATGACTCACAGGTATGTCGCTTCACCTAAAGCTTTCACGAATTCATGTTTAATATTAGTTGAAGAAAATCAACAAGCATATTAAATCTTTCTGTATAGGAACTCCTTGCATTTCTGTTAGATGGACTGCATGAAGATTTGAATCGTGTCAAGCACAAGCCATACATAAAATCCAAAGATGCAGATGGTCGACCTGATGAAGAAGTTGCTGATGAGTATTGGGCGAATCATATTGCTCGTAATGATTCAATAATTGTGGATGTATGCCAAGTAAGTATACCAACCGTGATTTATTTGAATCAGTTGCTGTATTGTTTTGCTTAGTTTGTCAATTAATCCGTAGTGCATATTGTTGCATTGCTCAAGGATTGGGGACTCACTTGAATAAATTGGGATCAATTGAAACCACTTGATTTGACAATATTATTACAGATCAAAAGAGATTGAAGTGATAGTTCATACTCACATTAGTTGCTAAAAAAGCGAAACAAATTTAAGTTCACCCGAACTTTTTTATGAATTTATGTGTCTTTCAAAGTTCAGTTCAGATTTAGGACCTGCCGATGGATTTTAATTTTTTTTTTCTGTATGAAGTAATCTTTTTCAGGATTGGCTCCTCGAGTGTGCATCCTGTAATTTTTTTTTTTGTAAAATCAGGTCATAAACAACACAATGTAAGACTACGGGAGCAAAATGTTATTCCCCTTTTTTGCTTTGGTACTTGAATTTGTTAACTATTTCACATTCCGAAGTCCTTGAGATTCAACGATTTTAATCTTAAAATAAAAATATTTTTATCTAAAATTGGCACTCGTCGAACAAGCTGCTCCTTTTGACTTGTAATAGTTTGATCAAGAATTCTATTGGTTTGCTCCCAGTCTTGTTATCCTACAACAAATTGCTGAAATTTTAATGTCAGTGCGCTAAAATTCTGGTTACTCTTGTCTTTTTGCAGGGTCAATATAAGTCAACTCTTGTCTGTCCAGCATGCGATAAAGTTTCAGTAACATTTGATCCGTTCATGTACTTGTCCTTGCCGCTTCAGCCTGCTACCACTCGCAATATGACTGTAACTGTTTTTACTTGCGATGGAAGCGCTCTGCCAGCACCCCACACAGTAATTGTGCCAAAGCAGGGTCGTTGCAGGGATCTGATCCAAGCAGTCAGTAATGCTTGTTCTTTGCAACTCAACGAGAAGCTTCTTCTTGCAGAGGTTGGCTGAAAAAAAATGTTCTTTTTTTCCTTTTTTTATTTGTGTTCTCGTAGAACTTTGTTTATAACTTAGTATTTATTTCTGCGCTGTTTATAGATAAGAGGCCACTTGATTTACCGGTTCTTGGAGGATCCATTGGTTTCACTATCTTCCATAAAAGACGACGATCACCTCACTGCCTACAAAATCCCGAAAGTTCTCAAAAACACAAAGTTCCTTCAGTTGATTCACCGACGTGAAGAACAGTATGTCTAATTTAATATATTATTTAATTCAATCTGTATTTACTTTTCTTTTTTCATTGTTGATATATATATCATGCTCCTCTCTTTCTGTAAACTCTTAGGGGCAGTGGAAATGCTCAGAGCACTCTCGGGTGGAAGCCTTACGGAACACCTCTCGTTTCGCCTATCTCATGTGACGACACTATTACCAGAAGTGATATACAGGGGATAGTTCATAAGATGCTCTCACCTATGTTAAGAACAAAAAACTCGGGCGCTATGACACCTGGCAATGCATCATTGGGTGCATCATCGGATCAGTCTAAACCGGTTTCCTTGCCCAAACTTCCATTACAGTTGGTAGACGAAAATAACGCCTGCATTGATTTAACCGTTGGTGATGATAAAGTGGTTAAATTGTCCTCCTCGTCTATGTCGATTCTTGTATTTGTTGACTGGTCTCAAAAGCTTCTGTCAAGTTACGATACCAGCCACATAGAAAACCTACCGGAAGTTTGTAAATATGGGCATGTGAGCAAGAAAGCTCGTAACGAACCTCTCTCATTGTACACTTGCTTGGAAGGTTTTCTCCGTGAAGAGCCCTTAGTCCCCGAGGACATGTGGTAAGCTCTTTTTTTTTTTTTTTTTTTTTTTTTTTTTTACCTTAGTTGCTTCTTTTTCTTCTTCCACAAATTTACAGTAATTAATTTTGTTTACATGTTGGTAACAAAGGTACTGTCCACAATGCGAGGAGAGACGACAGGCGAGCAAGAAGCTCGATCTTTGGAGGCTCCCGGAAGTTCTTGTTATTCACTTGAAGAGATTCTCTTACAGTAGGTCGATGAAGCATAAACTAGACACGTATGTGAATTTTCCCCTTCACGATTTCGATCTGACAAATTATGTGGCTAACAAGAACAACACTTGTCGCCAAATCTACGAACTCTATGCCTTGACAAATCACTACGGTGGCATGGGAAGTGGCCATTATACAGCGCATATTAAGGTTCGTAAAAACCCGCCAAATAATAATAATTAATATTTTTAATTGTTTTTGTTTGTAATGTGAATGTTTGGAATGCAGCTTACGGACGAGAACAGGTGGTATAACTTTGACGATAGCCACATAACAGCGATCAACGAAGAAGAAGTGAAATCGGCAGCTGCTTACGTACTGTTCTATAAAAGGGTGAGCAGTGATAGATCTTCAGCAAGTAATGGAGTGTACTGTACTAATGTTAGCAGCAGCAGCAGCCAAAAACTTTGACCTCAAATATAATAATAGCTCTCTACCAAGTTTAGTATTATGTAAAGTTAATTTATTACCTTGATTACTAATTACTTTTGTTCTAGATATATATATTTAGACAACTTTCACAGGAAAAATTAACAAGCTTACAGTTATTAGCAGAGGTTAAGAATTGCTTCTGAAAAATGAAGTATTGTTGTTGAAATAGAAACCTGAGTTCACATTTTGGTCAGGCTAAATTATAAATTGCTATTTAGTATTTACTATTTATGTGGACTGTTCATACTTTGTTCAAATGCTCAACAAAAAGAAAAAAAAAAAAAAAGGGAAAATGGTTATTTTTAATAGGTTTTTTCATTTTATTTATGTATTCTAGTGAATTTGCTCCCCATAAAAAATAAAATATTCTAAGTTTAAGTGATTCCAAATAAGATAATATGACCATATTATATTTTGATTACTGATAATTTAACTAGAAAACTAATATATTTTTCCAAACTAACCCTAAAAAAATTCGGAGCGTTGCCCTCGAAACCCCTGTACACGTAAAATTAATTATTTCCATGAAAAGTTCCTGGGTTCTTCCCTATGGGCGTTACTTTAACGAAACCCCTGGACGTTACTTTAACGAACAAGATGCTCTTGATCGCCTCCTTTTTTTTAGTACTAGTTGATTTTATTTCATAAAGATTCTTCAGAAGTTCAAATTTCTTTGGGTGTGGGGGTGCTTGTGTTGTGAAGTCCCGTTATGAGTTCAATACTAGTTAAAAAAGTCTTGAAAAATAAAATAAAAAAATTATGAATAATTAGTTGACAACTTGCCATGAACGATCCAACATAATCAAGAAAGAGCCAAAATGAACTCATTCAACTTACTTTCGTCTGCACGATTAAATATATACATACATACATACAGAGAGATATAAAAAAAAGGAGAGAGAAATTACAGAAGGAGAGAGAGAGATGACGATGAAGAGGAAGCCATTGTTCCTTTCTCTGATGATCAGTTTCTTCTTCTTCTTCTTCTCAAATGTCGGTTCACAATCACCAGAATCAGATTCATGCAGCTCCGATCCTCTCACACTCCAAACCCCCCTCCCCTTCAACACATATTCTCTCCACTGTGTCTCTATCTGGGATTCTCAAAGCTTCATCCTCAGGGTAATTCTCTCTCTCTCTCTCTCTCTCTCTCTCTCTCTCTCTCTCTCTCTCTCTCTCTCTCTCTCTCTCTCTCTCTCTCTCTCTCTCTCTCTCTCTCTCTCTCTCTCTCTCTCTCTCTCTCTCTCTCTCTCTCTCTCTCTCTCTCTCTCTCTCTCTCTCTCTCTCTCTCACAATTTAAATAACTGTTTCTCCCTTTGCATGCAGTACGGTCAAGCTGAGCCGAACGTGTGGAATTTCGTGCTCTCGGCACCGAACACAAATGGTTACATCGCAATAGGGTTTTCGCCGGATGGGAACATGTTCCGATCCAGAGCCGTAGTTGGATGGGTGGCCGGAGACGGAACAACAAACATGAGAAAGTACTATTTAGGAGGGCAATCGCCGAACCAAGTCGTAATCGAATCAATTTATGATCTAGGTTTGCGGCTTGGGAATTTGTCGTCGATGGTTATCCAATCGTGTCGAATCTACATGGCTTTTCAGGTGATCACCGATACGACTCCCACCCCGCACCTGCTTTACGCCATCGGACCGGCGGGGCGGCTGCCGTCCGGCCCTAATCTCCAACTCTCCAAGCACGTAGACAGGGTCTCGACGACCATCAATTACGCAACAGGTCGGTGCGAAAACGTACGCCTTTTTGTTTTGTTTATTCGTGCGATTGAAATTTTCATTTTCTATGATTTTTTTAGTAAGTTTAGGCATTGTCATTCTAAGATTAACGAAGATAAAATTAAATAATCTAATGAAAATTCAGTTATTTAGTTATTTTAAGCTTCTTTTAAAGGTAAGATAATGCAAAATAAATCATGATAACATAATATTTACGGATCAACTAGACAAGTTATTTAAGATACTAAATATCACACAAAGTCCAATTATTTAATTAATTATGACAAATTAAACAAAAAAAAAAAAAAATTCCGATTAGATAAAAAAACTCCGTGCGATATTAATATTAGCAAAAATATATTTATAATGTATTATTTAGTACACTATCACCTAAATGGTTTGTTTTTATTTTTTAAGAATTGTATTTATTTTTTAATATCTTATAAAGGGATACGTTTAATTTTGAACAAACAGAGGCATTTTTGTTAATATAGACGTACGTGAGGGTTATTTGTAAATTTTATTTCCGCATTTTTCTATTTTTTTTATATTATTTAGGGGCAATTTAAACATTTGTTAGATTTTTTAGGGGCATAATTGTAATTTTGAAAAAAAAAGAAAGGTACTATGCACAATCTTAAAGTACATTGAGGCAACACATTTGACTTCAAATACAAGTTTCAATTATTAATTAGAATAACAGTGTTATAATATTTGCTAGTTGCTTTATAGATTATAGATTATAAGCTTTTATAATCACCACCTTAATATTATATGTAGATTAAATTTATTTTTGCTAATAACAAGTTTTGTTAATAAATTTGTATGAAATATCAACATTATTTTTGCTAGTTAAGGTTTGATTATTTATTTAGTTCGTGATGTCCACATTTTCATCTTATTAGAACTTGTCATCATGGTTTAAATTATTTTTAGGATTATTCAATATTTTACAAACGTAGAAAAAGTCGAGGAATATGTGTGTTGCGGCAATTGCCTCTTACGATACAATGACCAAGTTGGGCTTTTACGAGTTTGGGGGATTTTTGGATTTTTTTGGGAAGTTTTTGGGTTTTAGAGAGATAAAGTGTTTTTTGTTATAAACCGTAAAAAACAAGTCCCTTCCTAAAAGGTGGCACAACAATTTTAAGAGTACCACAAATGAAAAGATGCTTTAGACTTTTTGGCACGAAGGAGAGTTATGCTGATATATGCTATGAATGCTTTACACGAATAGAGTAATTTGCTGCAAAAACATGGCTCTGTTTATAATTTTCAGAAGTTGTGTTTCAAAAGTCACAACTCATGGAAAAAGAAGGGGCCGCAAATGTACTACACCTTTTCGTGGGGGTTAAACACAATTTATGTTTAAGCTGCCACCACGATCACTTATATATATTCAGATCTCGCTGGGTTAGTCAGATTAACCATGATCAATTAAATAGCTGAACCTTATTGGAAGTTTGGTTAATCCAACAACATTTGAGGCCGACATGCAATTGTGGAAAAAATGGTCATAATCTTGGTTAATTCGGTTTCATAAGATTATTTAATAATACTTTTTTGGGTAAATTACACCCACTTGAGGTATGCTTAAATAACTTTAAAGTTCTTGTGGTATCTATAATTACATTCACCCCCTGAAACGTAGTTAAAAACTGTGATGAGATAATGCATTGGATACGTTATTCTGATAGAGTTCTAACGAGCTATTGGTTCCAGAAAGTGGTGGAGCCGTGGAGACAACAAAGAGCTATGGGTGGTTTAAGAAATGTTGGGGGAGCCATGTCACCCCATAACTTTATGTTGTCTCCACCACTAGCTAAAAGTAATAGTCCGTTAGAAACCTATCGGAATAATGTATCCAATGCATTATAACATTAGAGTTTCTAACTATGTTTCAGATAGGTGAATGTAATTATCGATACCATATGAACCTTAAAGTTATTTAACCATACCTTAGGGATGTGGGTGTAATTTACCCTACTTTTTTTTATGGTCAAGTTGAGTTTTTATAAGATTAATTAATCTTATTTTTACAAGGTATATTTTTAAGAACAAAAGAAACGTAGTTACTCATATATATCTTTATTGTTGTACATAACAGGTTTATTTGAAATTAATAAGCATAAGCTCGGGACGAGTCTTGAGAGGAGCCACGGATTTTCGAACATGCTGGGTTGGGCCATTTTATTGCCGATCGGGGCAATGGTGTTCGAAACGGTGTGCTGATTTGGATATATTACACATCTGATTATTTCAAAAAAAATCGTTTAGCCCTGAAAAATGAAGTATTGTTGTTGAAATAGAAACCTGAGTTCACAATTTGGTCTGGATAAATTATAAATTGCTATTTAGTATTTACTACTTATGTGGAAGGTTCATCCTTTCTTCAAATGCTCAACCAAAAACAACAAAAATGGTTATTTTTAATAGGTTTTTTCATTTTATTTAGAGTAAATTACGGCCACCCCCGAGTTATAATTAAATTTCAAAAAACCCCCTCCTATTTGGATAGTTACAACTACTCCACTCAACTATGTATTATCTTACGAAAATACCCTTCTAGAGGTAAATTAGGGATGTTATAATCGGTAAAATCGAACCGAAATTTTGGTAAGCCAACATTTCATACCGTTTACCGAACTGAATATACGATTTGGTTAGGTAAATAACCGAATTACATAAATTTTATGTAAAACTATTTAAAAGAAGGGGGTGACTGTAATTACCCAAACACGTGGGGTCTTTTCGTAATTTGACCATACCTCAGGGGCTTGACCGTAATTTGCCATTTTATTTATGTATTCTAGTGGATTTGCTCCCCCTAAAAAATGAAATATTCCCCCGAAATAAAATATTCTAAGTTTAAGCGATTCCAAATAAGATAATATGACCATATTATATTTGATTCATGGTAGTTTAACTAGAAAACTAATATATTTTTCCAAAAAATTTCGGGGCGTTGCCCTCGAAAGCCCTGTACACGTAAAGTTAATTATTTCCATGAAAAGTTTCTGGGTTCTTCCTTGGGCGTTATCTTAACGAACAAGATGCTCTTGATCGCCTTTTTTTTATTAGATGATTTTATTTCATAAAGATGTTAGAAATTACATACGAATTCCCAAGAACCAACATGCTTGAATCAACGAGAATTAACATAAACATAAACACGGAAGCGTACCTTACATTCATGGAATCGAATTTTCGAATCTCCACTGGATTTGGGACAGGTCTTCCAAAGAATCCGCAGTTCCTTATTTATCTCTCTAACGATGGATTTTAGAAGAGACGGAATGGTTGCGTTTCTTTGGGGACCACGACCCTTTATATAACTGTAGAGTCCAGTTATATTATAATTGTGATTCAGCCCAATCAATAAATCACAACTAAGCCCTAATTGTCTTTACACATTAGGCCCATAATTATAGTTTAATACCCATAAGTCCAACCCAATAACCTTTATTAGATCACAATTAATTTGGACTTTCTTTAAGATAGCCATACACATTTACGTCACATATGTGAGCCCACATAATTATTGAAATAATTCCAACAATCTTCCACTTGGGCCACATATGTTATATACCTTATAAATGTGTACACCTTATGAGCTCAAAATTGCTATCATATAAAAAAGGTATTCCTTACAATCTCGTCCATTGACCATACTAATATAGGACTAAAGAGGCTTTCGTCACATTGAGCGTGTCTAAACCCAACAGTAATCACGTATACCAATATAGCCAAACGACATAGATCAAATCATGGTGTGTAGCATGAAAATTACATATAATGTGATCTTAACATGCCTATTTCCAACTGGTCCTACTTTAAACTTTATTGAGACCAAACCTTAACATAATTGTACAAAGCGCAACCAAATACTTTATTTATGCAGAAAACTTAATACACAAAATTGTGTCCAAAACATATCATAGAGCTACCAAAATGTGCTTATAACTCCCACTGAACCAAAATATCCTTAAATGATATAACACCTACATAAGCAATTAATGCTCATGAATACCTTATGTGTTAATCCTTTAGTAAGCGGATCCGCAATTGTGGAGTTTGTCTTAATATGCTCTATGTATTCACTTTGTACCTTTAACAACAAAGAACTTTCACAAGCTCTTGTTGTTGTTCGAAAATATAGCTGTTAAATATTGTCACCGTATAACTTTAATACAAATGAACATGTGCAGCCTAGTGACAAATGTTTATAGCTATATTCCAAAATAAGATGTCAAAAAATTACCATAAATTCTTAACAATTGTGAAAAGAGCTTAAAGTTTTTGCTTAACACCCATGTCGAAATAGCCCAATCACTTAGGTCTACATTGACCAAAATGGATCTATACTTTATACACATCATAAAAATCAAAAATCAGGAATAAACCACACGATCTCCCTAAATATCTGATTTTGATAAATGAGCATATGTATATAACTTACATTCCCTATAATTACTGTATAACCCATTTCGCTGCTTTGTTAAATGATCCACTTTATAGGGTTATTCAAATATCTGCCTAACTTTATGCACGTCTTAACCGAATGCGCACATTCTTTTACTTTAAAATATTTATTGGGCATTGAAATGAGACTAAACAAGCCTCATTTATTGTGAGATTATATCCCACTGATCCTTGGGTATGTACAATCATTAACTTTATTTATCTCAAAGTGCATATGAGATAATTAGCTCATGATTGTAATATCATTAACGGGAATTTTAATTTCATTAATGGACTACTTTAGTTTGCAATCAATATCCTTCAAATCTTTAAATATTAAGATTTTATGATTGCACTTTATTTGTTCCATAAATGTTACCATTTGAGAAACATATTCCCGGTGTCCATATATTTCTTAATAGAGTCGATATGAGTGAAATCTTTAATGACTAAACGTACCATATATCTTTCAATATTGCCCATTTGAGTTACATTTGGTCTTAATTATTTGTAACCAAAGAACTTCACACCTTATGGCAATAAGATAAGATCCTAATGTCTTGTCATTCTAAATTTCAACTCATCTTTAATGCTTTATTATCTTAAGGTTGTTGAGTTTGCTCTTAAGTAACAATTACCAAAGCTTGATTGGGAATTGTTCAATATTATCTTATCAAAACTCTAAATCTACTTTTCAAACAATGACTAGTATAAAAACATGTACATTGTCAAAAGAAGTATTAGGAATCGAATTGATTCCTCTTTAAAGACAATGTCTCTAATCTAAATTTCTCCCCTCAAACTCAACATCCTTAAAAGATTTTAAATTTCCCCTTTTTAAAAATAATATATTGCAGCACTTATGTTTCTCCTAAATATACCTTAGTGAAGAAGAATGACTTATCATACTTCTTTGAATGTCCTTGAATGTTCTATTCTTAAATTTTGTACCATTTAAATTGCTTATGCAAGATTTTACCGTAAGAGACTTTTACTTAAATTATAGGTTAAATTTTGAATTATGAAATAGGCCAAACTTAATGTTTTCAAATGAACAAGCTAACCGAATTTGTTCAAGAGAAAATCTAAATCCATCTAATGATGGTACCAAATGTCTATTTCAAATTCAAAGGAAAACCTAAGAGTCCTTATAGCCTCAATCCCAAATATCTTACATAACCTTTATAGATGTATCTTTCAACATCAATTAAATATTGGTTATGTAAATAACCCTTTATATACACACTTACGTGAATAGTGTAACCTAGGATCTATTCACTAAATGTGTCTAGATACAAAGTCTTAGAACAAATTAAAGTGAGAAACAAGCATAATTACGTTATTCAACGTACCTGAGATGTAAACTGCAATTATAGATATTAATTTATCTAAAGGTGTACTAGTCAAATTAGCACTTAGTCTTTTCTCCCTTAATTATTTATTCTTCATGCGTACGGTCAAAGTTTTATTCTTTATGTTTTACAACAAACCTTATATTGACCGTTCACGGAGAAAAATTAAATTAACCCATATCCACTTTCAAGTCAGCGAAACCACACTAACTGAAGTGCTATAACTCAAAATGAGATTAGACTATTACTTGATGTGCTCATTTATGTTCCTTTTCTTTATACCTTATTTAAAAAATAGATGACAAAATCTAATTTGTTGCAACTTTATCGTTTTAAAATAAAACGTATCCTTACTATCTTTAAGGAACCTTCCAGTACGCAACCCCTAATTAAACCTTATGCCCCCAAAAGTTATTTAAAATAGATGCTCCTAATGATCTTAAATTTTATAATTAGAACAATTATATACTCTAGGTTCTTCTATTGTTCTATCCAAAATAAAAAAAATTAAGATCTATGCACCATAATAAATAATAATAGTATTAATAAATATTCGTGCAATTAAGCGCAAAAATGTTATAGGCAGACAATGTGTAAGTAGATAAATAAATTAAATAGAGAATGCAAATAAGATCAATATGCTCACATTATAATCCAAAGATTGACTTTGAAATCTTAAATAATTATGGAATACATCTCAAGATGCCTAGCACAACATTAATATCAAGTCGTAGGGACAGTAATATTAATTGTAAGTGACACTCTTGTTGTAGTAATCAAACATTGATAATAAATCCTGTTAAATAATAAGTTCATCGTAGGGATGTAACTTTTATTCACATGGAGCCAAACAATCATCACATGTTTATTACCACAGTTGCATATGTGGTTCGGCCAAATAATAACCTACCGTAGGGGTAGTGTTAAAATTCGCATGAGTTCACATATACATAAACATCTTGACATTCTCAATTAGCTAATCTACACAGAGAGGTCACGTAGGGTGGCGTCATGCTTCAATTAGTTCTTTTAAATGTCAGACAAACTTAATAACAAGTCATTAGATGTACCCCAAAGATTACTCAAAATTTTAAAAGTCGTTGAACGCTAAGGCTCTAAAGACCTCACTGTATTGTTTTCAATCAAACTCAGTAATATGGTTATTCATAAAAATAAGTATGAATCAAAAACATCAAATCCATCTTTATTTTGAATTTGAGCTAAAGATAATGTGGGGCTCACAATCCAACTTTATTTAGATTTAGAGGCAAAAAATAAATTTTAACCAATAAATCTAACTTTATATGGATTTGGACTGCATTAGTAACTCAATTTTAGACTTAAAACAAGGGTTTTGACTCAAATGCCGAATGAGTCAACCCTTATTTGGTTAATTAATAACCATTATTCATATTTTAA